CCCCAGACTAACTCTTTGAATTGTTTGTATGCTGTGGGCACTTTGAAAAATAAGCCCAAAGGAGTCTCAAAGAGCTGTAAGGTATTGATTTGTTGGAGTCTGAGGATATTGTGTTTGCTGTTTTTTGAAAGGGTTTTGAATGTGGAAAATGCTCTCGAGGTGTGGTTAATTCTGGGTTATTGCTTCAGCTGCAGAGATTGTCTTTGCTGGACTGTAGCTCTTGTGTTGGTTTCTGTGGGCACATGCAGCGTGAGCTGCTGACTTACACATGTCATGTTCACCTTCCTTGGCTGGGTCTAAGGTGCTGAGAGATCTTCAGAGCTGTTTGTCCCAACAGGTTGTTGGTGTGGATTACTCGGCTCTGAAAGCAGTTGTGAAGCTCAGTGAGCCTTTCCTGTGCGAGTCCCGGGACAGCAGCTTTACCCTGGAGTGCATGAAGGAACTCCTGGAGCTGAAGGAACATCAGATACTGCTGCAGGAGCTGTGGGTTGTGTATGATGAGTCAGGAGATTTTGCCCAGACTGCACTAGCCGTAGAACACGTCAGGTAGGACAACTACACTCTGCTAGGACCTAGTGGGTGGTGTCCTGAATTCTTGTGGCCACACTAACAGCTCCACAAGCCAAGATTTCTGTAGTGAATCTGATGACTGGTACTCTCAGGAGATTTCTTTCCCTCTCTTTTCCACCCCAGATTTCCTTGGACTGTATCACCTTGCAGATTCTAGTGCAGTGTTCATTTCTCTTCTAAAGCATTTTGGTGAATTTTTTCCTTTTTTGTCCCTTTTTTTTTTTTTATTTTGAGGAGCCATTTTGCCTCCTCCCCTAAATTTAGTCTTTATTCTTCAGGTGTCTGTTCACATCTTCTATTTTCTTTTCCTTTCTTTGCAGTCTCTGTCTCTTCCACCTCCCTTGCTTTCAGGCACTGCATGCTGTGTGCTAGTTCTCTCCAAATGGGCTGTAGGATGGATAATGTCAAAAGGAAAGCTTAGCTGAAGGATGCCTGGCCAAAACCAAACAGCCAAAAAGTCTCAAGATCTGAAGAGTGTCTGTCTGGCTTTTCAAATCCAGGTTTTAGCTGTTCACTCCCTTTGGAGGAAAGTGGGACTCAGGCTGTCATGAAGTTTGAACTTGAACCCGAAATAAAACTCTTTATGCATGGAAACAACAGGCAAGAAAGATGATTCTGCATACACTAAGCAGCTTATAGGACAGTAACATGGATTTGGAGGAAGGTGATGCTTCGAGATGAATTCTCAACATGGTGACATTTGTGTTTCAGTGCTGTTGGCTCTGCTCTCCTCCTTTGTATGATTAAATGCTTACTTTGCTTCAAAAGGTTCTTCTACCAGTACATCTGGAGGACGTGGGATGAGGAGGAGGAGGATGACTTTGATTACTTTGTGAGATGTGTTGAGCCTCGACTGAGACTGTAAGTGCAACCCCTGTGATACTGTTAGGGCAGAAGCCCAGGGAAACATGACATGGGGATGGTGTAAAAAAATCCCTGTTCACTAGTAAACCAAAGCAACTTTGTTCTAACAGCATTCACTGTCTGATGGCCAAAATTTTGTATGGGAAGAGGGTGCAGCTGAGGCTGCCCCTTGATTTCTGGGCCCTCAGTTTCTCCCTGTAATCCCTGACCTTCCAGAAGGCAGTGCCCCTTACCTAGTGATAACCTTCACCACACTGGTACAAGCTGTAATCATATCAAAGCTGTCATGGGATGCTCCAGTACCTCTGGGCATAGAATAAAAACCAGAACAGAACTGAATGCACACAAGAACTTGTCAGTTGGTCATGCTGCAGGAGGAGTGGGTGTGAATCCTTCCCTCAGTGGGATTAGTTGGCATTAGGATTTCTGCAGGTGGGTTTTTGTGCTGTCCTGCCTTACAGAACTGAAACAGTGCACAAGCACAAAATCTGGTTATGTTTTTGAGGGTACTCAATAAACAAAACACACCATAAACAAAAACATAGCTGAGTAGTCGAAAAGTGATTTTTCTTGTAGGTTTTCCCCTGAGATTTGAATGCTATCTCCTTCTCAAGTCTTTCACGAGAGTTATTCTTCAGTTGTTTTTCATTACTGATTGTAACTTAGCATCATGAGTACCTGAGAGTTTGTGTCATTCCTGTGCAGGTTTGAAACTACTCTGATGCTGGGAAATTTAATCACTGAATATAACCTACCCCAAAATACCACTTAGAATAGAGCATGATGTGCTAAAATATAATATGTGCTTTACAAAGAGAACTAGTATAACTCCCCACACTCTGTAGGTGTCTGCAGACCTCCTTCAAACAGGGCACCTTACATTTGAGGACTGGTATGCCTATGTTTTTCTGAGATCATATAGATTAGAAGGAAGTGTTCTAAATGGAAATTGTGTGTGTTTCTGAAGTGTTTATACCTGTCTGCCCTAGCAAAGGGCTCTTCTCTTAGAGCCTTATGGAGATTCTGCAGGAAGTGAAACCAGAATGCAATGATGTAACCTGGGAGAGTGTTTTATTATTTTTAACACTGTGTGTGGCCTCACAGCCATTTTAGTCAGGATCCAAACTGCTCAAACAATGTCTTGTCTAAGCATTTGCTAAGACAGACATCTCGTGTCAAAGCAGAGAAGTAAATGTTCTCTTTTCTTACTGTCCCAAGCCATGCTGGATAGAAAGCAGCAAAACAAATTGTCCTCCAGGCTGCATTGACACTGCTGCTGTGCTGTGATCTCAGCACTGATGTGTCAGCTCAGAAATAACACTTGTCCTCAATGCATGGAAACATGCTGCTTTAAACTTCTTAGGCCTCTGGTGTGCACTGTTTTAATGAGAAAAGAGCATCTTTTCACTGTTTGCTAGGTTGTCCTAGTCTTCTGAAGCAAGTAAAGATGTATGAACTGTTTAACTAAAGCTTGAAAAAAAACTAGTTTTGTGCACTCTGATAGTGATCAGATCTGGTTCCCTACAAAAAATGGTGCAAGAGAATGAAATTCATTGGTTTATTTGTAGTGCTAATTGCTGTCCAACTTTTCATAGTGGCCATGGTTGGTCCTGTGTGATCAGCCCTGAAGTTCTTGGCACTGCCTAGTTGGCAGCTGTCCTCATCTTTGTGACTTGGGCAATGCAACTTTGCATTTCAGTTTCATTTACAGAGGCTGTGCTTGGGATGGTGCAAAATTGACTGTTCTGTGCATTCTCATCGTCACCTGCTGCCAATAATGCCTTTCTTACTGGTTCTGTGTTTTGTCAGACTGTTGCTAATAGAGACTTCTTCACCTTATAGGATTTGTCTTCTGTTTCAAACATGTTTTTTCAGTTTTTCTAATAAAAGCTTAAAAATTACTGTCTAAATTCTTACTTTTTTTATAGCTGTGCTTATGCCTTTTCTTTTCCTAGAGTGAGTTTCTCATGGCAGTGTACATTCTTTCAAGGTGGATGGGCAGCAGTTCAGAAAGTAAAATGTGTGTGTCTGTTCAGATTTAGTTTTGCTGCTCTCAAGTGAAACAGAGCAGTGTTGATACAGAGTACAGAGAATCTTGACTGAAGTACTGACCCAGAACTCCTAGAGTTCTCTCTGGGTTTGTATTTGATCCTTCAGAGCTGGGAGTGTGAGCTGTGCTGACACTGCTCTCTTTGCAGGCACTATGACATCCTCGAGCACCGTGTGCCTTCTGCGATCGTGGCCGATTACCAGAACTTGTTGTCTCAATGTGAAGAGCTTTATGGGGAGTTTTTGAACGTGAGGAACAGCATACCCAGCAGTGACTCGGACTCGGAAGTGGAAAACGTCTCCATGGTGGAAGGCCTAAAGTTGTATGAGAAAGTAGAGCACTTAAAACAAAAGCTGAAACTCATTGAGAATCCCGTGCTGAGGTACAGGGTGGGTTTGTGCAGGAGGAGGGCCTGAGGGAACCTGCAGCATGTGTTTGCTGAAGAAGGAGCTGATGGCTGTGTTGCTCTTGTTGTAGGTATGTGTTTGGTTACCAAAAATGCCGTGGGCTCCAGGCCAAAGGATTGAGGCCAACTGGTACCAAGGTCACTCATGTTGTACCCTCAACCGTGATGGCAAGTCTGCTCCAGTTGTTGATGAGGGACAAACTTTGCCCAGAATCCTACGATGAAGACACAGAAATACAGGTACAGTAACAGGAACTATCTGACAGCCAGTACTTTTTCTCCTCCAGAAACAACGTGGAGGAATAAGTTGACTTATCATGTGCAAGGTACTACATTTGCACAGTGTTACTTTTTGTCAGTTCAATAAAATATCACTGTAATTTAAACAGTAAGTGGTAAGACTGGATAACACAAATAATTTCTTTGGATTCGTTTGTGCCTGTCGAGTATTCTATGCAGGCAGTTCCCTTCCTCTGTGTAGGAAATTATATGAACCTTCTGGAATCATTTTACAGTGAAACATAGCAAGGCATAATAATTCTGTTTACTTTTGAAATTCCCATGTCTCTTGAAGCTGCTGATCATGGTGTAGAGTTTGAAGGAGGAAATGTCTTCTCTTGCTTGAGTTCTGTGTAGGAAATACATTTCTTTTAGAGCAGTTGTGTTTAGTTTTACTGAATTCAGACAGGATTTGCTACTCAAGCAGTTAAGAACAGCCTGAATTCCTTGGGCCCAAATGAAAATACTTGTTGTCTTCTGATCCAGTTCATGAATTACAGATGGCCAAAATGGAGCCACAGGGAAGGTCCTGGATTAACTTTTAGGCTATAAATCAGATTTTCTGACTTGGCAACTGCAAAATGCTCTCATGATGCTTACCCTGAATTTGCTGGGAAGAAATAAATGTGTGGTTTTTCTCTACTATTTGTCATGCTTTGGTATGGAATCCCCCAGTAATCTCTGGTCAAGGAGAAGGACCATGTGGAAACCATATTTGCCACTGTAATATCTGAGCTCTATTTTGGGGTTATTTGCACCCAGAGCAAAGGGTTACAGCAGTCTTCAGACCAGCTCATATCTAGTTGCTGAACTGTTTGGGTTTTTTATTTTCTTTATCTCCTGTCATCTATTTCTTCAGCAATTCGTGGCAAGTCACTTGAGGCAGAGTTCAAATGTTGGCCTGGAACCAAGGCCATAGTGAAGTTTGTTTTCTGGTGCATATGCTCTTTGACCTGTGTCTCTGCCCCAGTTTTCTCACAGGGGAATGGGCATGACACAAACACCCAGAGCATGTGTTAAGGCTGGTTTTGTCCAGAGAGTGCTACGACTCTTGAATTCAAAGGAGAAATTATGTATTATTGGTGCCATTCAAAAGGGTTTCTTTTAAGCAAAAGCAGCAACATGTATTGAAAAAGCAAGTTCTAAGGGCATAAGTGCATCCATTTTTAGAGCCTTCTTCAGGAGCTGGTTGTGCTTTTTCTTTTACAGTTTCACAGTGACCCACTGACAGCTGTAAATGCCTGTTATGAAGGAGACACAGTCATCATCTGTCCTGGTCATTATGTTGTAGATGGAGTGTTCTGCATTGCTGATTCAGTTGAACTAGAAGGTAAGAGGTTTGCTAGCATAAAGATCATTAAAACAAGTGAACAGAATGTCTTAAACTAGCTCTGCATAAGGATTTACTTATTGTGGAGTTTGGGGGAGCATTTGCTTTTTCCTTCAAAAAGTTTGCTTTTTTTTCTTCTCTTTTTCCCTCTGTTGTGGAGCCATGTCTAATGCAGAGTGCAGGAAGCTGTTCCATTTGCCACAGTACAAATAAACTGCAGATTTTGCTGAGTAATAGCAAAGTCATCATTTCCTCCTGCTTGTCTGTACAAATCATGATTACATAGGTAGAGAGGATTCAGCAGAAACATAAGGGACTTCTGTGCCTCCTAGATGACATCCAGGTCATTCTGAGAGGTTTAATTTTTTTAGAGCCACTAACTTAAGAGTACTTGAGAGATGTCCTTGTGCTTCTCTGCATGTTTTAGTCTGCTGGGGTAGCAGTGGTGAATGCAGAAGGAATGAGCCAAGTGCTGTTAGAACTTAGTTTGTGGCCCCTGGAGCATGTCAGTCAGGGGGAGCAGGGGACTGGCAATGTCAGTCTGTGTGGCAGAGGACAGAGCTTTTGATATAACATCTATTTTTTTCTGTAGAAACAGATACAACCTGTGTGATCATATGATTTTTCTTGCAAAATGTGTTTTAAATACTTCTGCCTCACTTAGGTTACATTGCTATCTCCCTCACCATTCTTGATTTCTCAGTGTAGTTCCTCTGCTTTAGACAGGCACACTCTGTAAGAGTCTGTTTATCACTGGGGTTTATGCAGCTGTTCAGATACTTCTTTAGTTGCATTTTCATTTTGTCAAAGCTTCTTAATGGGCAGCAGGCTGAGAGTTTAATTTCCTGCTCTTCAGGACTTTATTTTTCTTGCCCTTCTTGTTTTCTGAGTGTCACTTTCTTGCCCATCTCCTCTGTGTCTGTACACATGTTGAGAGCTAGAGCAGCTGCAGGGGAAGGAACCTCCATAAAGAGCTTTAGGACAATGTCATTCTTGAGAGAAACAAAATTGTGGGTGGTGGTATTTATTGCTTTTCTAGCTGTGAGGAAACAGTAATACAAGTGGTGCAGTAGCACACAGTGGAGGATGAGCTGCTCTATTTTAAGGAGCAAGGCATATAAATACATATCTTTAGTCCAAACCAGGCTCTGAATCATGTGTGTGTGTGTGTCAGGGTGTTTAATCTCCTTACATGGACTCCTGTGAGATAAGGTATTATAGCAATAGTAGCAGCCAAAAATGTTTGAAGTAGAAGCATCAAGAAAAACTTGGCTGGCACTAATCTGAGCAGTTGGCTGCTTTGGTGGTTTTCTTGGGATGAAGGGGTGACTCATGGAAGATCTTATGTCACTTTGCTTAGTAGAGTTTTATTTCTTTGCCAGTCACTGTGCATGTCAGTACTAAGGTCAAAAGTATGAAGATTAGTAAGTCAGGGCTAAATAAAAACTTCTAAGAACTAAATCAGGTTAAAGCAGTGGCAGCTGCAGGAAGTCATGGTAAGGATAACTTCCACACTTGACAAAATGTGTTGCAAAGGCACCTAAGAACTTAGGTTCAGCTTGTGCAATAGTTGTTCAGGCTGGAGGGGAACCTGCAGCCTCAGCCCATCAGTGTTACTGGGTGACAATTGCCTTTAGCTCCTGTGGAGCCTCTCAGCTTACAGGCAGGGGGACAGCTGTGCCCACCTTGTGTACTGAACATCACCTGGCAGCAGGAATCACTTTCCTTCTCTTGTACTGGATTCCTGGAAAAGGTTTCTATGCAGCTTCATATGTTGAAGTATCAACCACTGAACTTTGCACGAAATGGCTGAAATGAAAACTTTCTGCCAACTCTTGTTCAAAGATTTTTCTTTCTTTTTTTTTTTTTTTTTTTTTTTTTTTTTTTAACCTTTCCACTTGCCCATGACAGTATTTATTTATGTAGTTGGTGAAAAGCTGCCATCCTGCTTAGGCACTGCTTATCTGAGTTTGTGTGTGCCTTCAGAAAATGATAGGACTCGTGCTGTGGTAATAGACATTGCTTTATTGCTTTCCTTATCATGATTCTTGTCAGTGACAAGCAAGAAAAGCTTTACATGCTCCTAAATTTCCCTGTAAGTGTTTGAACACTGACAGCTTTGGATGGCTTAGTAAATCAATGTTGGCATATGCTTGTGAAAGCTTTTTAATCTGAATTAATCTAGGAGCCTATGGGACACGGGAACACTGAATTTTCACCATTTAGACAGGGAAGCTGAGTGAAGCTTACTAGCAACATGGACTTTGCATTTGCTTCCTTGTGTTGTGGTGATTACTGCTTTTTCCCTGCCTGCTCTTTGGATCCTCTGCCTGCTCAGGGGAACTCATGTGCTTTGAGAGCAGCCTGGAGATGCCTGTGTGTCCTTGGTTACTGCATCCCCCTGCTCCACTCTAACTTTTGGGAGTGAGAACTTTGGCCTTGGCAAAGCTCAGTTACCCATTTGTTCAGCTGTCTTACATGACTTTGCATTTTGTTATGTGTCATTCAAATAAGGTAACTCCTACATCTAGTTCTGAGTGCCTGTGCCTTGGCACAGAGAGGATGTAAGGTGTGGTGGAAAATCCTACCCAAGGTATCAGTCCCTCAGGTTTCAAACCTCTGCCTTTAATTTAAATGCCTGTTATGTTCTGAGCACCTCACTGTCAACAGTTTGCTTCAAACTCACATCTCTGACCTCTGCTTTCAGGCTATGGCCTGCCAGATGATATTGTGATAGAAAAACGAGGCAAAGGAGACAACTTTTTTGACTGTACAGGAGCCAACATAAGGATCTCCAGTTTGAAGTTAGTGCAACATGATGCTGTGGAGGGGATTTTAAGTAAGTGTAAAAGCATCTTGACCTTTTTGTGACTCTGATAATTAACTGTTAGAATGAAAGCTGAGACCCAGTATTGGGGTTTATTGGTTTTAACAAAATATTGTAGAGCGGAGCCTTAGATCTATAAACATCAAGGCTTCCCCCTCTTTATTTTTTTTTTTTTTTACTTTGCTTATAATGTGGACATCAAAATAACTTCTGTGATCACAGTGCAAAAATGTGTGTCTATCTGTAGGAGGGATTTGGTTTTGTGTAACTGATTTATCCAACAGTAATTGTTTTCTGTGTGTGTAGATGTCCATAATGGGAAAACCACCCTGGAAAACTGTGTGTTACAGTGTGAAACCACAGGCATAACAGTGCGCACGGCGGCTGAGCTGGTGATGAAGAACTCAGATTTGTATGGTGCCAAGGTACAGACTAATTCTGAACTCTGGCTTATTTCCTAGTTTGAAGTAAAGGTTTCTGTTTGGGAATGGTACAGTCAGTCACAGGGTGACTTCCATTGCTCCTGAGAGAACTTCTACAAACTCATTTTGGACAGCTGCATGTTACTGACCTTCAGGGATTGGTCCCAGGGTCTTGTAGCCTCTGAGAGTATCTAGTGAAGTGTCTTGTGCTGATTTGTGTGTGATGATTTGTGTTTCTCTGCCCATGAATAGTTTTCTCATGAAACCTTGCATTTATTCTGTGAGTGAAACGCCCTTTTTGGACACCCTGTCCATTGATTTTTACAAAAGGATGATAAACACATAAACGATCTTTGATTAGGACATTTTGAAGAATGATGGGGCTTGGGGTGTGGAGGGGGATGACTAAAGAACAAGCAGGTAATGGAAGGTTCTTCACCAGGTTTTTGTGGACTGGTGGCAATAATGCTACCCGTGGGGCCTCAGCCTTGAGGAGTGCTGCTTAAGTTGGGCAGCAAAGCCATGAAACTGGAGTGGTAACACAACTTTGTGTTGTGCCAACTGGTGGGTGAACACAAAAATCTGCAATGCTGTTATGAAGATAAAGGGGAAATGTGCCTGAGCTGTTTGTGAACTGCTGCCACTTGTATCTTGTAGGGTGCTGGTGTGGAAATATATCCAGGGAGTACGTGCACCCTGCTGCAGAATGGCATCCACCACTGCAAGGAGGGAATACTTATCAAGGTCAGTTCAGGGCAGAACTGACTTGGTTTCCAAAGCTTTAGAGCTGCTGGAATTAATGCCAAGAACTTGCCTTTAGGTTGGCTTAAAACCTTGCTGTGTTATGCTTGAACTCTTTGATGTCACACATGATGATAATGGTACTTGTTTGCCATGGGTTGGCCACCAAAGCAGGCAACTGGTTTTCTTTCTTACCTCCCAGAAAGAGAAAATGCCTTTTGCAATGTCACTGGTATAGGTAAATAATCCAACTTGAGCCAACATAGAGAACTGGTACCTAAAACTGGAAGATTTTTGCATCCCTTTAGCTAAACATGACATGTTGTATTTCCATGTTTTTCCTGCAGAACTTCTTAGATGAGCATTATGACATTCCCAAGATAACCATGCTTAATAATGTGATCCATAATAATGAAGGATATGGTGTGGTCCTGGTTAGACCAATGATGCCCTCTGAGGTAAAGGATTCTTCAGCACAGAGAACAGAAGGTATTCTTCTCTTCCTACAAGAAACTCCTAAAACTAGTAAATCTAGTATATCCAGGTTTTTGGCTTGCTTAACTCATTACTTGTATGTGGAATTTGGGGCTGTCACAAAGTAGTTAAGCAAAGAGTAAGAGGGATGAGGTGAAAATGTTAAGACTGAAGAAAATTGAATTCCAGGAGTTTTTAATGATGTGGCTGTTTTGCATGACTGTTAGTGACATTCTTGCTGTCTCCTGCCTTAGGGAATACACAGCCTGCCCACTCAGGTGATGAGACAGCCCGTGCAGAGAGCTCCAGGCAACAACAACAACTACCCAAATGTCTAACTGATGAGTTGGAGCTTGATGAGCAGGCTGAGACTTTTGAACAAACTGAAGGCAACTGTGAAATTGCAAATGAACTTGGGGCTGCTTCTGCAAAGAAGAGCCAGATGCACAAGAAAAGACTGAGTGAACTGGGAATTACAGAAGCTGATGACAACCTAATGTCCCAGGAAATGTTTATCTCTGTTGAGGGCAATCAGTTCAAATGGAATGGGAAAGGAAGTTTTGGTACCTTTCTCTTTTGACTGCCCTGAGTCCTACTGGCTCTGCAGTAGGTGATTTGTGCAGCTGTTGGTCAGATCACATACCCTGTGTTGTGCTGTTACACTTTTTTATTTCCTGAGTGCAATCCTTATTAAAGGACTAGGGTTGAAAATTATTTTGTGGTTCTTTCACCTTTTCAAAACTGTAATTCCCTGAGTGACCTGCCTTTGGGATGTGTGCGTAGCACTTCTTTCCCTTGCACTTTATTTTAAGCCTGGCTTATCTCTTGACAGCCCCTTATCTCCCTTCTGAAAAATCAGCTCTACCTATCACAGAATGGTTCGGGTCGGAAGGAACCATAGTGACTCATCTGGTCCCAACTCCCTCCTCAAGCAGGGTCATCCCAGAGTAGATGGCACAGGATTGCATCAGACCATTCTGGAATATCTCCAGTGAAGGAGACTCCACACCCTCTTTGGGCAGTTTGTCCCCCAGGTCCTTCTCTGCAGAGCTGCTCTCAGGCAGGTCATTCCACAGCCTGTACTGGTGCATGGGGTTATTCCTCCCCAGGAGCAGGACCTTGCATTGCCTTAGCTGAACTGCAGAGAGTTCCTCTCTGCCCATCTCTCCAACACACAGAGTCTCTTCTGAAGGGCTGCACAGCACTCTGAGGCATCAGCCACTCCTCCCAGCTATGTGTCACCGGAGAACTTTCCTCATGTCAAGAGGAAAGTTGCCATGTGCACCAGGCTCACTCTTGCTGTTTGCTGAATAGTAAAGTGATACGGTAAATTCATCTCTTGGACTTTTAAAATTCCAATTTCTTTCAAATCGATACAGAATTTGCCAGAAACCCCACACAGATGAACATTGATTTTGGTTTTGCCCATTAGGTATATGAAGTACTTGTATTTTTACTCCTAATGAAAAATCAA